CGATCACTGAGAAGTTGACTAGGGTGACTGGATGAGGGTGCCCCGAAATACCGGGGAAGGCAGGGTTTCGCAGGGTAGCTGCCACGGGCGAAGATACACCCCCCTGTTTCACACATCGTACAGCTGTCTATCTGTCTGTCTGTCTATCTGTCTGTCTATCCCTGTGTCCTTGCGTCATGCCCTTTCCTCCCGTACACCGTACCCGCAACTTACCACTCTTAACCCCACACCTCTCAAACCCTCCCCCGGCCCAACGCACCCCCGGTCATTGCCAGCTCCCCCAGATCGACCCGACCGGACAGCAGCCGCCGTATCTGGTTCTCGGCGTACGACACCGCGGCTGCCACGTCACCTCGCATTAGGATCCGCTCCAGGGAGCCCTGCAGTACCTGACTCACCAAGGGGGCACTTTGCCGCCACATACTGCGGACACCCTTTACCTGGGGGGTGGTGTGGGGGTTTGGGGGTGTGACGGGGGGGGGGAAAGAGGATTGTACGTTGTATGCCGGGGGGGTGAGATGGGGGGTAAAGAGGAACCATATAAAAATTGATGCAACAAAAAAAGAAGCAAAAAGAGAATATTATGTCAAAATTAATTTCTCACCCATGACCACATGATGTAAGCTTTACGACATGGCCGGTAACTTAAAATTGGGAAGAGAAAAAAATATGAAAGTTCAAAATATTTCTGCCATTGAAGATATAGCCACGGGGGTCTTACAATGACCCATGGGTCTGTCTCACTTACCCTTCCTTCGCCTTCGGTCATTGAGACAAAATAAAGGACTCACCAGTAGCGACCCACGGGTCTCTGGGCTTGCTGCGTCCTCCTCCGTCTCCATGGCCCTGCCCGCATACCGGTTCACGTGCAGCAGCAGGAAGGGCGCCATCACCTTCTCGTACTTGAGCTCCATGGGAAGTGGCAGAGAGGAGGTAACCAGAGCAGCGGCCTGGGTGGGGAGAGCGTATGCAAGAGAGGGAAAGGGGGGTGATGGGGGGAAGGGGGGGTTTGAAGGGGGTGAGGGGCGGGGGGCGAGGGGGTGGAGAGGGGCAGTCAGTGAGGTTCCGGGGAGAGGGTTTGAGGGGCCGTGCGGGTGTGTGTTTGTGTGTATGCAAGTATGTGTGCAGCTGACTCAAAAGGAACACCGTACAAATGCCGTACCTGCTTCCCAAGCCGTACAGCTTCTTCCGGAGTGGCCCTTTCCAGAGGCATCCACCGTACGTACGATGTACCGCCCGCGCGTGCGCGCGCGTGTGGGACGATGGTTTACGGGGGGGGAGGGCGGGGAAGCAAGGTCATACTCGTGTGTGTGTATATGTCACCAACACAATCACCACCACCACGACCCCAACACGCGTTTAACCTCGGAGCCCCTGCTACCTCCGTACAGGTTGGGGGATGAACAGCTGATCCCCCTACCTCCCCCGCTGCACATCCGCACCGTCGTACTTTCATTCCTCAGTATCCCCCCTTGGGACCCCAACTACCTGGGGAAGTGTACGAACACGCTGTCGGTCTGTGCGTAGATAACTCGCCCACCAGCCGCCGCCGGACCGAGCAGTCCCGCACCGCCGCCGCCGCCGCCGCCAGCGCCTCCGACGTCAGCTGCTCCGTCAGCTGCAGCTGACGCCGCTTCCATCGCGTGTGTGATCGTTTGTACGGCAGCCCTGCACGCCGCTGCCCCGTAGGCCAGGCAGCTATCCGCCAAGGGGAGGCACTGGAGGGGGGAGGCGGCAGCGCCTGCGCGGGGTCGGAGGGCCCGGGACCTTTCATCTGTTACCTAATGTCTGATACCGCAAGGGGGGAGAGACGGAGGGCATGTGTGTATTGTTGTGCGCATGTGCGAATGGAAAAGTCGATTCTGTCGAAGCGTGTGTGTGTGTGTGTGTTGAGTAATGTCTAGCCTTCGCAGGCAAAGAGAATTACAAATGGCATATCATTTGGGATGTGCCGTACGGTGTACGGCATGCGCGCCGTACGGCTCTCCGTACAACTTGAAGGGGTTTAGAGGGGGTTAAGGGGTCAAAGGGGTTTACGCGTGTGTCGCATGTACGGTGTACCGCACCAGTAAAGCCGTACAGTGCATTGGCCGTGATCTTGAGCGCCTTTTGGCGGGAGTCCAGTACGGCAGCGGCAGCGGCGTCGTACTGTACGGCCTTGAGCTTGGCTCGTGTGGCGGCGCGGGCGGACATGAGAGCGGCCAGGATGGTGGGAAGGATACCGGGCCGAACCTGAAAAAAAACCGTGCATGTATGTATCCACGTCTGTATGTCTGTGATATGTCTTTTATGTATGTCTGTAGGTCGGTCCATGTACCGTACCGTACATGTGCAAGTGCTTTCTAATCCGCTGAAACACGAAAAGGGAAATCCCGGGGGTTGCCCCCGAGCAAATCTACCGACTGAAGTAAGTATGTATGTATGTATGTATGTCGATGTATTTGCGGATAAGGCCCTGCTGCAGGACCGTATGGTTCCGGAGTAACATAGGTGAGGCGCCGAGTGGCGGCCTTCAAGCGATCCCCGTCGACCCCCGGGGGGATTCCCCCACTCCCCCCTCCCCCTCCCCCTTCCAGACCGCAACCCACAGGTCCCCGGAGAGAAGACACACTCCCATAGCAGCAAACAAGTGCAAACGGCAAACAAGCCGTTTTGGGTTTTGCGTACGACCAACGGGCGACGGGAAATGGCGGGGGAAGAGAGGGGCAGAGAGAGCGCACGCCGCAGGAAAGAGGAGGGGGGAATTTTGTACGGCGCAAAACCTGTTTCCCCAAGGAAACAGCCGGGGAGGGGAGGGGAGGGGAGTTCCGAACGCACCTCGGGTTTCACGAACGCGTGTCCCGTGGGGGTGAAGCCGCACCGCTCCCTGCCCACGGTGTCCACGTCATCAGGGTGGACGAGTGTCGTATAGCACAGGTTGTACGCGCGGTAAAGGGAGGGATACAGCGAGGCGAAGTCCAGAGTGGCCACCGGAGTGCGGTACAAACCTGGACGAGCATTCAACCATACAAGACACCCGCTCTTTATGCTTAATGAGCCTGTTAATGAGTCCATACACTGTATGCAGGCAGGGAGTAGTAGCAGTAGCAGTAGCAGTAGCAGTAGCAGTAGCAGGTATTATATCGAGTTCCAGACCCCAAGGGGATACCCCAGGGTAGGGCTAGGGTAGGGAATGACGAGGGGGAATGGGACGAGCACAAGAAACTTGCTAATTGTGTGTACGGCAGTCTCTGGTGCCTGCGAAAAGGGATAACAAGGACAAGCAAGTAAAGGCAATTTTTAGAATAAGGGGGAAAAAAAGCAAGGCCCTAAGAAGCATCCGCTTCGACGGCTTACCCTCGACCCCTTAAGGACTAAAACCATCACTAAACCCAACCCTTGAACCAAAAATAAAACCAAGCAAATAATAGTAATAAAAATAATAATAGTAACAAAAAAATAATATTAAATAATAATAATGCGCCCTCGTTCCCTTCCTCTTCGCCGCAACCTGATCTTACCCGCCGTAAGGTTTTCTACGGGGTGCAGCAGAAAGGGACTCTCAATCAGATTTCCCGCCTCTTGCCGCCCGCCAATAATGTAGCTGAGTAGGAGGGGGAGGGGGAGGAGGCAGCGGCTGCAGTAAGGCGGCGATATCAACGCGACATCATTTTCATAAAGAAGTTAAATACTAGCGAAGGGTGCGCCTAGGGGTGGGAATACAAACTTCAAACCCGGGTTTGGATCCGGGTTTGGATCCGGATCAGAGGTTCAGAGATGCGACTATCCGACCGAGGTTCTCCCAAATGGATGCAGCGCAAATGCTGAGGCTAAAACCCTAAAACCCTAAAACCCTAAAACCCAACAACAGGTTGAAACCCTCCTAGACTCCCCCTCTGACTCCGCATTCCCAACCCCCCAACCCGCTCTCCAGGGAGCTCCCCAGCGCAACACCCTTTCCCCCAAGCACGCGACAAACACACTCCCACCCCAACCCCCAACCCCCCACCCCCCCCACACACACATACGTATAGCCCCCCAATCCCCTCCACACGCACTTTTGGCGGTGCGCGTTGCGGTGTAAAAGACTCCATGTACGAATCATCTGGGCGTTGTACATAACCTGTACGGCACGTACGGTACGCAATGAGACGAGGCCCCGAAACTGGGCTGTCTACTTGGGGCCTACCCCCGGCCAGTGCCACCACAGGGACCCCACCGCCCGTTCTGAGGAGGTGGCTTTAAATTAGAGTGGTCGGGGGTCTGCAGACGGGGAGACGGACAGCCTGAGGGGGAAAGAAGCTCCCCGGATAGACCAAAACCGACGAGGTTGTCCAATTTGACGAAGCTGCTAATTCAAACAGAACGTCAAAGAGAAAAAAAGAATGGACTCCAGGAAAGCTGGGACCAGAATTGGACCTCAAAATCTCATCTTCGATCCTCAGAACTTGCAACTCCATTAAATTGACTAATTTTCTTATTATATTGGAATTTCAAATAATGTTCCTGGTTTCGGAGAGTGTAGTCCTCCGGAAAAGATGGCCCTGTACGTGGAGGGGGGCAGTACGGCAGTGGTGTGTCCGGGAGAGAAAGACAACTTTGATGCCAACAAACGGCATGTACCCTTGTTATGCTCTGTACGGCAAGTCGTACACCTGTGGTATCGTGAGCCCTGTCACACGCGCCATCTCAAAAGCCTCCGGCAGCGTCGCCAGCCGCGACGTAAGTCGTACGATGACATCCACACGCCGTACAATGTACGATGTGATGCGCGCCGCTGCAGCTGCGGCGGCCTGCCACTGTTCAGAAGCCGGGGCCGCCGGGGCCGCGGCCGCCGCCGCATCCGCCGCCGCCGCCGCTGCCGCTGCTGCTGCTGCTGGCGGCAGCGACTGCCGTCCCTGCGCCTCCGCCGCCAGCCTCGCCAGGTGGAACGGACCCAACACCTCCAGCGTCTCACCCAGCAGGGTCTGCGCCATAAGCCGTACAGACACACAGACACACAGACACAAACACACAGACAGACAGTTTAAGAAACCCTAGGGCATACATACATACAAATACATACATATATACATTCATACATACACACAATCAGTGGGCTCCGGGCTCCTCATCACATCAGTGGTTTGCCGCATACGACCGCATGTGTACAGTGGGGTTGGGCAGTTGGCAGTTGGCCGTTAGCAGTTGGCCGTTAGCAGTTGGCAGAGGGGTTGGGGTGGGGTTGCAAAGCGAAGCGCCAGGGTCGGGGATTGGGTCAGTGGGAGGAGGTCGTGTGTAAGGGCAGAGGGCAGAGGGCCAGGGAGGCTTCAGTTGCGAATTTCAAATTTCTCACAACATGAAAAGTGCGGGAAATTGAGGGGGGTTAAACCGGAGCAAGGTGTGGAGGGGGCGGAGGAAATGACACGCGACTGTGTTTCAAAGCCCTCCCTAACAGATAGGACACCTGGGAGGGGGGAAGGGGGGGGCTTCCGAAACGGCCCCCGGGGGTTGGCACAGCCAGGATTCAAGTTATCGGTGTGCGTAACTTCTCCTCTTAACCCTCCCTTACCCCTCAAACCCCCCTTACCCCTCAAACCCCCCTTACCCCTCAAACCCCCCTTACCCCTCAAACCCCCCTTACCCCTCAACCCCCCTTTTATCCCCTCCCCTCCCCTCCCACCCGCGACCCACCTGGCAGCAGTCCACCAGGCTGAAGGTCGCTAACGATTGGGAGGTCAACACCTGGACATACATACATACGTACATACATCACGTACACACGGACACACATGTGTATGTGATTACGTGGCCTTTACAAATTATGGTATTGTCTGGTGACACCGCTGCATTTAGCAAAACCCTAAGTTCCTGGTCCCATTGTGGCGGTGGATAAGGAGTATGGCGCCCTCCTATGGCGCTCAATCCTAGACCAGAATTCAAATTTAGGCCAGACGGCCCGAAGCCATCGGCTCTGCTACAGCTGCAACACAAATACACACACACGCACACATACACATACACACACATACACGTATGTATTTAAAGTACACACAGGTAAAAGTACGTAGAGTTTGCTATGAAGGATGATGTCCGTTTTCCTAAACCAGAAACCCCCCATCGCCCCAACAGCTGCTGTACAACCAGCACACAATCCCTCTTACCTCCTCAGCCTACCCCCCCTCCTCCTCCTCCTGCACGCCCCGCACCCTACCTGGCGCAACACGTCCACAACAACACGGCCCCTGACTTCTGCCTGAAAGGTTTCCTGGGGGAGGGGTGTTTGGGGAGGGGGTGCGTGTGTGGAGGGGGGGTTGAGGAGACGGGAGAGAGAGAGAGAGGGAGGGGGGGAAAGAGATACATCAAGGTACTTCCGCGTGCATGTGTTTGCCAACATCATATATTTATATATAGTTCATACATACATTCATACAGGAGTTATACATGCAAAGCAAACGTGTCCCTAAGCACCTTCCCCTCTCCCCCTCCCCTCTCTCCCCCCCTCCCCGTCCCCCTCCCTCCCCTCTCTCCCCCCCTCCCCCTCCCCCTCCCTCCCCTCTCCCCCCCCAGCTAGATAGATACCTGGTTGCTGTTGGAGGACATGCGGCCCTGCCGCTTCACCCACGCCGCGCTGTACATCACAACGGTCTTAACGGTCAACGGAGACGCGGCGACGGCCCCACCGGTGCCACCACTGCCGTACACTGGCGCCATCCGCGATACCAGCAAACCCCCTCCCTCGAGCCGCAGCCTCTCGAAGCGGTCCCGGATCGCACCTAACGTATCCCGAACCTGCGCTAAGGATTTGAATGTACGTCAATCCGTACACATGTACTGCAAAACGGAAAGGATTATTCTAGCAGGCCCACAAAGATATCCTTTTATGTCACTGCGAACCTGTAATTATTCCGGCCTCCTCTCCACAACCTCATATTCCCTCACTCTTCACTAAACACATAGCATCCAGACACCCCTCCCTTTCCGAGTCCTCAGCCCTCCCTGCCCCCCTGAACCCGGACCTGGTACGTGGTGACAATGTCCGGATCCACTTCCAACAGCCACTCCTTCCAAGCCTGCGTGTGGGAAGGGGGGGAACCACTTGTGGGGCTCTTTTGGGGGGTAAGAGGTGAGCGGGCGTGTGCCGTGTATGCGTGCCTGTGCCAGTCCCCGTCATCCCCCCCTCACCAGCAGCATTTCCCGCTCGCTGTCAAAGCACCTCAGCTCTGCTCCCTGGAGTGCTGCTCTCGTTAGCGGGGGTGACCCGTGGGTCAGAGCGCTACCTGCCGGTAAAGGGGGGAGATGTACGGGAGGGGTTGGGGGATGGTATTGGGCGGGGAAGGGGGGGGGGAAAGACGAACCACAAACTAGTGAAGCTGCTGCCGGGGCAAGGGGAGAGGAAGGGGGGGGGAGAAAGGGGAGAGGGCCCACACTGGGTATTTTACACAACATCAGCAGCAGCAGGGGCATGAGTGGCAGCATGAGTAGCAGCAACAGCAGCAGTAGCAACAGCAATAGCAACAGCAGCAGTAGCAACAGGGGCTTTTTGATGTACGGCCCGATGTTCCCATCTAGTACGGCTGAAAGGGCGCAAGGACGCACATACACACTTACAGACAGTAAAAGCCCATGTTGCTACTGCTGCTGTTGCTATTGCTGTTGCTGTTGCTATTACACGTACTTTAAAACCCCAACCAATCCCCGGAGCCAACCGCACTCACCAACTCACCTGCCACCAAAAACACAACCACAGAGCCCCGCGTGCACGCCTGCTGGATATCGCCGCCACCGCTGCCGCCGCCGCCACCGCCGCCGCTGCCGCCGCCGCTGCTGACGTCAAGACGCCCCGCCTCCGCCAACCCTGGACTGTCCTGTGCACACAAATCTGGCCCCACCGCTGGCCGTGACGTTGTGCCGTACGTTCGTACATCACAGCCAATGCAGATAACGGGATCGTCCTTGGCGGTCACTGGTGTACGGTTTGTCGTATCGTACGGCACCGCCAGTGCATCAACCGTCATGATCGTCAGTTCCGCAATGTGGCCGTCCCGCGCGGCGAGGATGGCAGCCGCTCCTTCAGGGGACCCTTCGGCCCCGTTGACGCCTCCCACCGCTTGCCGTACCAACTGCAAAACAATTATCCCTTATATTAGAACATAAAATGTAAAGACATGAAATAAGAAACAACCAATACAATTGTAACCATACCTAGCATACGTCCACATTTTTAAGGTTGTCGTGGTCTTTCATAACTAAAGCTATTTGTACACACCTGTCGATGTTATCCTATGCACAAAGACATCCACATACACACGCTTCTTCCCCCCTCCCCACCCCCCAGGGGAGGAGAGGGGACCTGCAGCTCTCGGCTGCTTAGGAGGGGGATGAGGCCCATCTAGCGCCGCTCTCCCGTCCGCGGGGGAGAGAGAGAGCTTAGGCGGGTTTTCCGTTGGGGCTGGGCAGCAGCCCCTGTGGCCAGTGTCGTCAGGCCCGGTCAAATACTTGTAACCTTCACACATACATACACATATATATAGGCAGGCGGCTGGCAGAGGTTAAGGCCTGACTTCTGCTCCCAGTCGACCCAGTCGACCCGGGTTCAAATCCGCCTGCCGGCTCCTCGGGTGTTTGAGGAGTGATGAAATGGGAGGTGGCCCCCCATCTTATGGACGGTGTAGGACGTGATAATATCAACTTGCGAGCTGACCAGGAACTAAGTTGATGCGCCGTTGATCCGCTAGATTTGGTTGGATGCTGGTGGTGAGTTGCCGAACCCAACGAATACATTCTGAAGTCGGATGGGGTGACGGATTAGGGTGCCCCTCTAGCAGGGGAGAGCAGGGACTGCCCCGGGAAAGGGGGCCGCTGGCGAAGTTAACCACCCTGTAACAACATACATACACATACACACACACGCCCCGGCACCCTCCCCCCCACCCACCCACCTCGGGGCACCAGTCCGGATCCGCCAGCTGGGTAGCATCCGGGGTTAGCGAGTGTACGGCTCTCCACGGCGCCACCACCTGGTATTGCGGGAAGTGGGGAAGACGAACCACGAAGGAGAGAAGCTGATGGGGGAGGGGGGGAGGGTATGTGGGATTGGGGTAGGCAGGGGGGGGCAACGGGGGGGGGGGCGGAGGAGAGAGCGGTCGTAACACGGGTTATGCTGCTTAAGAGGGACGCGTGTGGGATACGGCCCAAACACACACGGCCGGCAGGGGGCCCACACAGAACCCGCCGCCCTACCTCGACAGCGCACGAGGAGATTCGGGACGTACGTGCTACTGGTGTGTAGTACAATGCCGTATTCGCCTCCTTCCCTCCGCATGTAACAACTACATCTGAGCCTGCTACTGCTGCTGCTGCCTCACGTAATGGTACCGGTGGCGCTGGTGTGTATGTTAATGATGATGATGATGATGGTGATGTTGGTGTCGTTATTGGTGCTGCTGGTGGTGGTGGTGGTGGTATGTGAAACCAGGCGCCCCCCGAGAGCCCCAGGTCGCACAGGAACCGCATCAACAGCTTCACCTGCCGGGTCGGGTCGTATCGGGTCGGGTTTACCCGCCGAATGGGGAGTGGAGGGGTGGGGCCGGGGGGTGGGGCCGGGGGTGCCGGGCTGTAAAGAGGAGATTATTTATATCGTAATGAAAATATATATTACGATATATATTTTCATTATATATCGTAAATATATATAATTTACGATATATATTTACGTAAATATATATTCGGAAATCAATCATCATAGGGTGGTAGTGAAATTACATCCCCTTCATCCGAAAAAGGGGACGGCCGACGCTGTGCCCTCCACACACACATCCCCGGGGGTAAAGGGATGGGGCGAGAGGGGGGGACTCAGGCCTGTCGAGTTTGACGAGGAGATGGAATCCGCGAATGCTTTTCTTTGCCGTACATTTACATCGTACTTGGTATATTATTTTACACTGCCGTACCATCTCGCTGTACGTACCTCCGCTTCGTGTACGGCTTTGTCCACGAACCGCATCCCCAGACGTCGCTCCAGGTGGGCGCCCTCCCGGCCCGACATAAGGCCCTCTAGGGCTGCGCCGGCGCGTTTGGACGAGCCGCCGGGCCGCAATGTGAGACGGAGGTACGGCGCCCCTCCGGGTGCTGTGGGTCTGTAGTACAAGATAGGCCGGGTGATGAGGCGGGTGATGGAAACCACACGCGCCTCCGGAGGTAATCTGCGGCGGCGGCGGCGGCGGCAGTAGCGGCAATAGCCGGCGGTAGCGGCAGTAGCGACAGAGGCAGCGGTAGCGGCATTTAAGAGGAAGTGGAAGAGGGAGCAGCATCCGTCATATTCATGTCCGCAGTACCGTACAACATACGGCACACAAACGTGAGATCAAAACATCCACCTCCTAATTCAGTACGAAATATTCCTAGGGTTCGAGGACGAAGACCGCCACAGACAGCTTGTACGGCACAAAAGATCTAATCCAGGCGACCCCTTCCAGGTCCCCATTCCCCTCCATTTGGCTTACACCGTACGGCACCAGCATCGTACACAGCATCGTACCGTAGCGCATACATATCACTACACGTACCACATATCGCACTCATGTACATACACGAATTCAACCACACAAACCGAAACCGCAACAAGGAGCTTCAGTCCACTGTAAGGCCCACAACACCAACCAAGACGTGTCGTAAACCTGCTGTTCCAGTGGCAGCGGAGGGCCTCCAGCTCGCCGTAGCTCCAGTCTGTCGTACAGAAAGAACCAGAGCCACCACCATCGCCGCCGCCACCACCGCCGCCGTTGCCGCTGGGGACCCTGTCATCGCCGCCAGCACCGTCATCGCCGCCACCGCCACCGCCACCGCCAACCCTGGAGCTGCCGCTGGTCCCCGTCTGAACTCCGGCGGGTATCATTGAACTGACGCGCACTGGTACAGGCACGTACAGGTACGGACAATAATCGTTGACCTTTAGGGTTTCACGGAGGGGGAACAAGGAGGGGCGAAGCAGGCGAAGAGAAGGAAGAAAGGAGGGCATGTGTGTAACTTACTGATAGGTTTCGTAAGGATGCGGCTTAGAACAATTGCCGTAATCAATCACTTTTGTTGTCGCGTGACCCGGTCGTCAACATGGCAGCGGAGTCCATGTGGACGAAACTGGGAAGCTGAGTTTGGCAGTTTTGGACGTAGCTGCCGGTGTGATGGCATGTAAATTATATATATAGTGTTTGTGTGATTTACATTAGTTCGGAAGGTTGGGGGATGCGAGTTGAGCCGTCTCGGGATTTGGACATGGTTGATGTGAATGTCCCAAGGGTCAGTAGCTAGGAGCAGTGTTGCATCTGCAGTGTTGAGCATCTATTGCTAGAAGTTAACATGCTGCTGCTCACCTGCACCAGAGCAGTTTTCCCGTCTGACGTTCGGGCCCATATATGGAAGCTGCCAGCCGGACCTTCATCCACGTCAAGCACCATCGCGACGATGGGTTGCGCAGCTTCGCCAACGCTGTTGCCATCCAGTCGAGGCAGGCTTGAATTGAGCTCGATATTGTTTTGGGCATATGAAGATGGTGGCGGCAAGGCATTCAGACGCAACCGCTTTGCAACTCGCTCCATGGCTGGAATAATACGGTCAAAACAGGTCTTACGCAGTTTCCGGAAGGTTTACTGCTTTATTGTAGGAGATAAAGTTATGTCAAGGCAGACCCATAACGTAGCCTGAACATTCGGGGAAAGGTGTTGCTAAAACTAAGACGAGTCCTCACAATTTTTATGGCTCTTGGAAGCACAAAGGCTTTGCACATCGTGCTTCAGACAGAAACGATAATACAAAGTTTTGGAAAGGTTGACCAGAGCTTTCCAAGCTTCCCCTTTCCAGCATCCTTTCTAATGCCGTACCATCACTACCGACGACGGTTAGAGCCCCATTTTCTAATGAAAGCTTACAAGCAGAGCACGATTTACCTGCACTGCCGGTCTGAATCTCTGCTGCGCACTGCCACTTCATTGTTTATGAATAGCTGAAACATGCTTAGCGCAACGTACAACAACCCTAGACCATCATCTTTCGGTGTGTGGGCCTGCACCATCACCACCATCACCACCATCACCACCATCACCACCATCACCACCGCCACCACCATCACCACCATCACCACCATCACCACCATCACCACCATCACCACCATCACCACCATCACCACCATCACCACCGCCACCATTGCCACCTGCGCTCCCCCCACCAACGCGTCTTCCTCCTCTGCTGCCGCTCTTATCCGGCCTCCCCCTGCCCCCCATACACACACCGTGCACCTATCAACAGCCTGCTGTACTACATAACCAACACTAGAGCCATACAGCGGACTCGCCGTACGTACCCCCGCGCACGCACTGTACATCATGCATCGTGCAACCACCACATGCTGCAGTACATGCAATCCCTGCCCCATACGATGTGGTGTACGGCATCGGCACAACAGAATAACTGTCAAGTGGGGTCCGCAAACGCCGGGTCCGATCACTTAATGTACGGCAATTTCCAGGAAAATCCAAGAATGAGTTGACGCTGCTGCGCAACCTTTCTGGCAGCGGTGTGGATACATTGTGTGTTGTCATAATTCACACATCTACCGGTTATCGTGGTCGAACTAACCCTACCCACATATAGCCATCGTTGAACATTTTTTTCGATGCAGGATGCCATCACAAAATAACAGCCCCCATAACCACCACTAACCACCATAACCACCACCAACCACCACAACCACCATGAAGATGCACAGCCGCCGGCCACTCGTACGTACATGCAAAAGGTGACAGCGGCATACTTGTTAGCATTTCAAGCGGTTTACGATTCGCACGCCTTTGCATATATACACAAATACACACACATAAAATTGCGTTGCATCCCGCTCTACTGCCCCGACCGGCGCCCGCCCTCCTTCATCACCCGACACACACAACCCGCTCTCCGAAACCAGACCCCACCGCATCCGACCCCCATTCCCCCAGACAACCCTAGGGTCCCCCCGGCCTCGCTCTGTACGACTCCCCGCGACCTCTCCTCCTCCCCTCCTCCTCCCCATCAGGCCCCATTCCAAAACTCTCTACACGTTACCACCTCTACACCATATCGTCCAAAACAGGCACGATAACTGTACCCCCAAAACCCTAAACCCTCCATTCCTATTTAAGCACTCGATATTCATTATTAATCAAAACGTATCAGCTGCGCTCCACTCGCCAGGTGAGCCGCCATATCCTGTACACACAGCGGCCCCAGCAACAGCCCCTCCGGTACGGCATACCCGTGTGTCGTACCCCGCGCCTCCCCCTCCGCCCACGCGGTGCTGTTCCGCAGCGTCGCCCCCACATGTGCCAACATGGCTACGAAGGGTCCGGGACGCAGCGTGACGTGCTGGTCGCGGGACCGCATGTCATCTCCCGCGCCAAAATGGGCCCCCGTGGCGGCCGCCTGGGCCTCGTAATCGCTGGGATGACACTGAGCCGGGTCTTCCACGTTGTACGCGAAGAACCGAATCACGTGGCCTTTGCGTGCGTGTGTATGTGTGCATGTGTATGTGAAGGGGCCAGGGGGGAAAGGTGGGTGGGGGATAGGGGGTCACGAGCTGGTTATGGGCCGGGGAGGGAGTTGCCCCAGTATGGGGAGGTCCAGAACGTTTGTCAGCTTCCCAGCTGGGAGGGAGGGAGGGAGGTAGGGAGAGAGGGAGGTAGGGAGAGAGGGAGGTAGGGAGGGGGGGAGGTAGGGAGGGGGGGAAGGGGAAAGGAGGAAGAGAGGGGGAAAAGGACAAGACAGGTAAATGGGTGTAGGTGGACATCTTGACGAACCCCCCCGAAGAAACAGCAGCGGACGCGGTCTACGGGGAAAGGGGAGGTGCGGGAGCGGAAGGTAAGAGGAAGGCGAACGGAAAAAACAACTGTTCCGGGAAGGGCGATCGTGCGGGGCTTGCTCGCTGCGAGCCAGGTGTACGGGTCGTACGAGGACGTACGACCTGGACAGCGCAAGACTACCGGCCTGCGGGAGAGGAGTTTAAAACCCTAAAACCCACCCGACCTTCAACCCCGGGAAGGGGGTCATCAGTCCCCCCCCATACACACACACACACCCCGCCCCCCGCGGGCCCTGCTGGCTCACGCCACCCACCTGCCCCCCGCAGCTGCGACTGCATGTAGGCGTCCGGCCAGCCACAGAACCGGGAGCCGAACTTACCTGTAGCCAAGTTTGCGTGTGGGGGGGGGAGGGGAGGGGAGGCCCGCAGTTCAAGGGGCGTGGAGGTGGAGCTATGGTGGTGCGGGGGTATGGGGCTATGGTGGTGGTGGTGGTGGGACCTATTTATGGTTTTGTGGAGGTAATACGCACACATACATACATACATACATACATACGGGGCATCAGAAAAGTAAATTACAAACAGGTCAGAATGAGTGACGCGGTTACGGAAGTACGACTCCGAACATGCCGTACATTCGCACGTTTCGCACGTACATGGTCGTACTTCCAGCAATGCAGTCCCTCCCACGTTGCCCCGCTCCATAAAGGCGCTGTTGGCGGCGCCTGTGGCGGCAATGGCGTTAATATCGGTAATCGGGGTGGGCCGGGGGGTGGGGGCAGGTTCTGGTGCAAAGAAGCAAAAAAGCTAATGTTGGGGGGAGACGAACCACTGGCGAGTGGTGCTGATATGCATACGAATTTGTTTTGATTGGTTGGGGTGCCCAACGACCAAACGGTATCGCGATAGATAGTGGTCCAAGGGGCGGTCGGGATTGCCGCCAAGCCCCAAAAGCACCCAGAGCTACCGTACGACGCCCTCTTGAAAACCTACCAGCCCCATGTACGGCCACCAGTACGTGTGCCGACCGTACGGCAGCCACTGTCGTGTAGAACCGCTCGATGCCGTGCAGTGTCGGTGTGTCGCCCGTGTGTAGGATCTTGCAGGATATCCGGTTGAACACGCCCGCCTGGAAGCCTGTGCACGAGAGGAGGGGTAAGGTAGCGGGGGGGGGTAGGGAGAGAGAGAAGGAGAGAGGGGTGGGGATGGGGGGTGGGGATGGGGAAAGACGAAGCACGAACGTGAAGTGAAGCTGAATGTGGGGAAGGGGAGGGGGCGGAGGGGAATGTGGAGATGAGAGAGGTGGGAAGGGGAGATCCACCTGCCGGGTAAGGATATGGCTGGAGGCCTGTGACGGAGAGATGCAGAGTGCGAGGGTGCGAGCGGGGTAAGAGAGAGGATCCAGCCACCGCCACTGTGGCATCATGACAGGCATATGCCGGCGACGGGAGAAACACAACTCGCTCTAGGTGGACCGTGTTATTTGACCAGCAGCATGACGGATGCCTTGCTGACTCCCCTGGGTAGTTCTTAGCGGATAGAAGATAGTGGAGAGCGCTCTACTGCCCGTGACACTTATCCCCCCCCCCCGCCCCACCCCGCCCCACCCCCCCCACCCACATACACCCACACCCACACCCACCCACATGTAAACCTTGGAAAGGGGAGGAGGGCGCTTGCCGCCCCCTGTTCCCCCTCCCTTTCCCCCCCGCCCACCCCACCCTTCCTACCTCCGCCAGCCACCCACCTACCCCTGATGTTGGCCTCCTCACACGCCTTCACCAGTTCTGGAAGATTCTTGATGTTACGGGCGGGGCCTGACCGGGACTCCATCAACACCCTCAATGTGGTGTCAATACCCACAGCAACTACCAACGGAAAACCACCGCCATCACCGCCGACCGCGGGGCTATTGCCCGCCGGGCTGCCAAACCCCAAGGGGTCAACCGGCAAGTAGGGCTCAATGTGGCGAAGTACGGATGCAGAAGTTGACAGCATGCCTTGCGGGAAGCCGTGGAGCTTGCAAAGCACCGCCTGGGTTGTGCACGGCAGGGAAGGGGAAAACGGCCCACGAGCTTGGCTGGTTTGCTAAAAGGGGTCAAGTGTGTGTGTGTGTGTGTGTGTGTGTGTGGGTGTGTGGGTGTGTGCGTGTGGGTGTGCGTGTGTGTGCGTGTGTGTGTGCGTGTGTAAGAGCAGTACAGGAGGCGGGACTGTTGTGATGGCTACAGCGTGCAGCAGCTATTTGTGGTCCCAAGGCCCGCGTCAAAAAGGCTGCAATAAAAACACCCCCCGAAACCCCCTCTCCCCTCCCCCCTCCCCCCCCTCACAACCGCTCACCCGCTCGAAGCAGCTCACGTGCTCTCCCTCAGCCGACCAGCTCACCCGTCGCCCCCTCAGCGGCCGAGTGGCCAGTTCATCAAAGGATATGAGGGGGTAGCGGGAGAAGGGGGACAGCAGCACTTCGTGGAAGGCGGTGATACCCAGACCGTCCGGAGTCGCCAGGACGAGCGTGGCCAGATCGTCTTTAGAGGGCACACCGAGGAGGGGGGGGCGGGATTCGTTGCGCCCGGGAAAAAAGTGTGGGGGGGGGGTTGGCGCCAAAAGACAGGGAGCCCTAGAGAAAGCTGTAGAGAGATGAACCTGAATGGTTCATGCAACGGCGCCAAACGAACGGATCGCGGGATAGCGGAAAATTTAAGGAATATGATGATGTTGAGTGTGCTGGAGATGATGTACAGGCTTGATGATGCGCAACACCCACCCAGGGTGGGTGCTTACCATGCCAGCACTACTTTACAAGGCCATGGACGGAACCATAACACTGTGCGAAAATGAAAAAGACACCTCGGGCCTTCAGGGTGCTACAAGAATGGGTTAGCTACCACCCTCCCCCCCCCCTCCGCCCCGGGCGATCCGCAGGCAACCCAGGCATGGACGCCTATCCCTGCCATGTCAAGGCAACAACGGACATGCATGCATGCACACGGGCGCGGGGCCGGGTGGGGTGCGACCTGCGACCTAACCGCGCGGAATACCCCCTCCCTGGATACCGCTCGCGAGGGGACCAAAACGCGGGCAACAACCCCCCCCCGCCCCTTCCGCCAACAAACCCTCTGCCCCGACCTCCGGAACGGAAAGCGCATCTCCACTAGATAGGAGACGAACAACGTGTTGGTGGTATTGGTGTTGGTGGTATTGGTGTTGGTGGTATTGGTATTGGTGTTGGTGGTATTGGTGCTGGTGTTGGTGCTGGTGTTGGTGCTGGTGTTGGTGCTGTGTTGGGGGTGGCGAGCAAAGGTGGGTTGCTTAGGACTCCGGGGGCTCCGGGTGGGTTTCTTAGTCATATGATGGTGATAACTACGATGAGGAATACGATGAATATGATACAAGAAGAAGAAGAAGAAGCAAAGATTCAACTGCCCCGACACGTCTAAAGCTGCAACTGCCGTATGAGTCCCAAGAAAACCCCGAAATGGCCGGGGGTCTGGCGGGAGGGAGGGATCCCCCCCAGCAGGCGGGACGCAGACGCCTCCAGCATGCAGGGCCTGCAACCACAAGACCGGCATCGCCAAGCAAATCACGCACGTACGTACGCACCCACCCACCTATCATGCCCTTTTGTCGGAAGTACACATCGGCTACTGCGGCCAGCTGCGCGAATACCTCGTGCATGTTGAAGGGCCTGGGGAGGGGGGGGAACAGCACGGGACAGCAGCACGCGAGAGAGGGGAGAAGTGGCAAGAGGCCAACAAAGACGCGGCGAGCGGCAGTGCAGCCCCTCGGTCAGGCAGGCTAGGTGCGGCTCTTGTCGCGCGCAGATCATGAAAACAACCCCCACCCCACCCCCCTTCCCTCGGGACCCTCCCCCCGAACCCACCAGTCCGTGATCATGATCACTGGGAAGGTGCAGGAGGAGAAGACGGGTCGCTGCAGGTGCGGGGAGGGCTCCAGGCGGCTGGCGGAACGAATGGAGATGTAGCTGGTGGGCTGGGGGCCAGTTTGAGGGGGGGGAGAAAGAGGGGAAAGACGAACCACAAACGAGAGAGGGGGAGGGGTTTCAGGGTTACTGAGGGGGCCAGAAGGCGCCAGAGGTGTTACCAGTGGTTAACATGTGGTTAAGAAGCGGCGGCCTGAGGCCCATCCCTCCGCTCCGTTCGGGGTCAGGTGCCCAAATTTGGAACGGTGCAACGTGGGGAGGGGGCTTAGGTGGAGGTGGGGAAACTGCTGGTGAAACGAAGCGATGGACTTTTGCGGTGGACTGTTCCTGGCAACACCTTACACAACGAAACTGGCGACGTCTGCCACCGATACCAGCAGGACCAGCGGCAGCAGCCGCAGAATTAAGAAGCACATTAAGGAGAGAAAGTAGACGTGGTAACCACTCTCTGTCCGCACGGCCATAGCAAACCGCATCAACTAGTGGTGAACTAGAGGGCGCGGGAAACAGGGGAAGCAGCAGCCGGCGTAATAAGAAGAACAAAATCTACGAGACCAAGTCCTTCGCAAAACCCAAACCAGTTTGGCTGCTGAAAGAGCAATTCATCGTGCATGGTCACGTCTCCCTGAAGAGCGGTGTGCTTGTGTGTATCATGTCGCGGCTGATCGATCGCATCGCGCCAGGGCTGCCGTACCTGGTGGCCAATGAGCGCATCGCTGTTGCTCCCGCCACGTGCCGGAAAGTTCCTGAACGTGGAATGAAACCCTCGGCACAATTACCAGGGGAGGGGTGTTACACACAGCGCAGCACCGGCGCGCTGACACTTTTGCTCACGCACCATAGACCCGTGTGCCTTTCCACTTCTCCATAGGGGCTCTGACGTGTCAAGTTGTCCGCAACAAAGTTGGGATCGAAAGTCACAAGCATGCCATCATCGGCACAAACCTTTCTAAGCAGAATGCAGGCACCGTTATTTCTAATGTCTTCAAACACGTTTGTGTTCAACGATGGCTCCTTACAGTCTAAGTGACCTTGGGTAGAAGTAGTTACACCTATGACTACGATCGCTGCGATAGCTAACGCTGGCAAAGGTTTCATAGTCGGAGCTACATGTAATATGGTATATGGCCAGCCTCAAATTCAATTCCGTCTGAAGGATGTGTGCTTGTAGGTACATTAGCTTGAGAGCAGCGCCTTACTTGGATGTACTGCAGAGGTCAACCAATGAAAGGCAAAGGCCTAGCACAATATAACAGCAGTTCCTACAAGCGGATGTTACGAATATTGTTCAGCCGTGAAAAATTTATTGATCCTGGTCCAGGGCATAAACTGAAATCAGCGCGTTTCCTTACGGGGCGTGTAAGCTACGCATATGTGTAACGTTTGAACTTGAACGCGAGATAAACTGTTTACTAGCTAGTAACCATTGATAACGGGATGACCCCTGCTACATTTGCATCCTGATCCCTGAGGTGTCCTCCATGCCCGACATATTGCACAATGTCTTAAAGCTACTGCTACTTCCCAGTGCGACTCGCATATGGACCAGTCTAAGTTACGGACTAGACAAGGAGCTGGGTTCACGCTTGAGGGCCTTGATGGCTGCTTTCTGCTCTAAGTTAACGTATCCTTCTGATACTTACAATTATTTGCCACGCTAAAGTTTAATTTGTGATTGAGATATGGCGACAACCGTGGCAATGGTTTTCCTTCGAGGCTCTTTCTTTGGCGCGCGGTTTGGGAATTTCCTCTATGGCTAAGGAAACTATTAGAGCAAATTCCCAAATTCCCTTTCCCTTGGCGCGTCCGCCAGGTGATGGGTTATAAGCCGTCTTAACGATTGCTCACCGACGGAAGTACGACAAAGCGCAACTGATTGAGCGAGGCAAATACCAAGGCGGATAGGAGAGCGAGACAGTGTAACGGCGCATGCTCGTTACCCTATTGGGACGGACCGGCGTATCTCCTTAAAGGGAAACTCTCCTGTCCAGCTTGTCTTGTGGCCGGCTCGTTTCCATGTCGACGACGGCAGGGGAGAGCGACGCCCAACAACTCCGTAGTGTACGGATCAAATCACCGGTGTTGTCCACACCAGGCCGCACCCAAACATCGTATAAAATGTCTTTGTGTATCGGTGCCCGTCACGTCGGGATGGGGTTTCTGCCAGGCGCAGCACTATACGACCGCAAAGGCTGCACAAAAACGACCTGTCTGCAATATTTTTCAAATGAAGTTCTTAGAACCTCCAAGAGCCATTCGCGTGAAGGATTCGGGAAAAGGAGCAACATAGGGAGCACATTGGAATGGCGACGGCTTGGTGTTCCCGATACCCCTGGAATGATGTGTCACATGACATCGGGCATCCAACGCCACAGGTCTGTCCGCTACTCCCTTCCCCCAAGAGGACGAAAATGGCGACTTCTTCAGAAGCTTCTACACATGTATATTGTTGGTATTGCTACCAGCCACCACAGACTCTTTGGAGTGCTACCCTGCCATAGCATTCCACCTTGTGTGACCAAATCGTGCCGTGAGCTTCTCCCCCTTCTCTTCTTCCTGGGGTGGTGTGCACGGCTCACGCTCCGAAACCAGGTACACCACACTCCACAGGTCCAAGTACAAAAGGAGGCGCAGGTGAACATGGTGGCCCAAAGGAGCCGAGTGTGCAACAGCCGAACCGCTCCCTACATGTTGCTGTCGTGCTGACTTTTCTCGGGGTGCACTAAGCAGTGGGCCCCAGCAAGGAGGGGGAAAGGAAGGGAAATCCATGTGCACATCTTCTGCCGCTGCTGCTGCTGCTGCTGCTGGGTATCCACAACTACCATGGTGATGCTTGTAGCACTGCTGTAAGGTGGTGATGGCGGTTGTGGTGGTGAGGTGGCGAGGTAACGGGAGAAGGGCCACAGCCCTATGTGGATCAGCGTAAAGTGGCAGGCAGCTGTTCAGTTACCAGTGGGTCTGTCCCTGGTGGTGTACCTGTGAAGAAGATAATGATGGTGGCGCCGTTGGAGGTGTAGCTGCCTCTGAGGTGCACGCACATCCCCTCTGCTACCAGCTCCGATGCCAATTCTATTACCAGCTGGTACATTACCACACTTCACAACCAGACAAGGCAAAGACATGACCAGATCTGCGAGAAGCAAATCCGGGAAGGGTCATGGTATTAATGTGGCCATGGTAGGCTAGACCACATAACATGTTGTGGAGAAGACCCTGGCCACCACCACCGGGGTGCAGGTTACCGAGGCTGAGACCCCCTGATAGACATGTCCTGGCGCATGAGTACATGATGTGTGCAGTAGTGCTGCATTTGCCCGGACCAAGTTCTCTGACAATGTTCTCCTGCCCACACGGGCTTCTGTTATCCGGATAGATAGATAGAGAGAGAGCAGTAGAGGGGAGTGGTACAGGAACAAAACGAGTGGCAATATGGAGAACATCTACTGCCCTTCCCCCCCCCCCTTTCCCCTCATGCCCTCAAGCCCGGCAGCAGCACATCTTCACATGCAGCGACACGCCCGCCCGCCAGCTACTGGAGCGAACGAAGGCACTCTCTGCCACACTTACCAGCCAGCCAGCTCCGGAACCGCTGCACCACCCTTCGGATTTGGAAGCGCGGCATGCTTCGGTCCCTGTGGCTTTGATGCTGCGAATCCCGTTGCTGCAATAATGGGTGCATCATTCTGCCGGCTGCCATCGCTGAAGCTGGCTGCCCTTGCACCAGCGGCCACATCGGACTTTGCCACTGCAGTGACATCGGTGGCGCCTTCCATGCAACCCCCGAAATTATCAAGAGGCTTAATAGTACAGTTGCTGCTGGTGGTGTCCCCACCATTCGCCGCCACGTTTGCCAAAGCGCCACCACCACCACCACCACCATCAACAACACCATGCCCGCAGCCACCAGTCTGCTGCTGGTGGTTGGCTGCCTGCTGCTGCTGCAGCTGTATTGGCACCGAGTCGGCGATCTTAATGATGCTGGCGGTGTCCGGGAAATCATCGCACAGCAGCACATGCGGATCAGTGTTGAGGTCCTCCACAAAGCCAAACCAGTAAATCACCATACCAGGGCCGTACCTGCAAACCAAACCAAGACCGCCAGGGGCAGAGGATAACACTGGCACTCACACAACTAGAGGTCACTGGAATCCGTCCGAAACGCAATGGTGGTGCCGGGCTTGGCTTCCAGTTGGGTCAATTTTTCCGGATCGAAACTTCCCGACATTTCGGAACATTCACCCATGCATTACTGATCGCTCCTGAAGATGTATTTAAGGGAATTAAGGCACTTCCCATAGCAGCAACGTTGATAAAGCTGTTGAATGTTTCACTCGTTAGATGTTTCACAAAGATTATACATTACCTTCCAGGTTTCAATAACGCTCCGGTGGTTTGTACGCGGCACACATTCCCATAACCGACACATCTAATGCCTCCCCCTCCACCGTCACACAGGGACGAAAAGTGCTCTACACACCCCTTCCGAGGAAACCTAAATCTAAACTCGCCTTTGCGTTTCCACAATACCAACACAAGATCATAAACAAATGTCCCATGTCCATCCCACCTCCCCCGGACGAGCCAGTTTCCTCCTCCATTTCCGTGTGTCGAAGACCCGACGAGCTCGTTACCCATGCTCCTGGTAGTAGATCACACTCGTGGACTCGTTGTTGTTAACCCGTCAACACGTCCAATACGCCCTGCCGCCCGGCCGCTCCCCAGGCCACCCAACAACTCCGGCGCCAACAACCGACACAAGGCCAAACACCACACCGTTCCTGGCACCTAATGAAGTGGGGAGTTCACCCAAAGCCAGGCCCCCTTACCTGTTGACGTACGTGCAGTACTGCTCCTCCACCTGCTTTATGTGGGTGCGGTGATCCCCGAATGTGGCCTTGCTGTCCACCCAGCACACAAGGTGCTCGCTGCCAGACCGGGAGCGGACCGCCACGGGGACCTGCGGAGGGCGTTAGGGGGTGTTGGGGGGTGTTACGGAGCATGAGGGGGTGTTAGGGCTCTAGGGAGCATTGTTATTAGGAGTAGGGTTGAAGGAAGCGGCACACAGCACATCGTAGGATAAAAAACCTGTGCCAGAAGGAATGGATACCGCCATGCCGGGATATGCCACGGAGGGGGATGGGATGGAACGGCAGTGCGATGGAGGGAAAGGACGGCAAGTGGTGACGGGGCGGGAAGGGGTTTTGGAGGAGATTCACAGAAGCTGAGCAGGACCAGAAGCTAGCGGAAACGAAACGGCACCAACCACTGCCCCCGGCTTATGAACCCCCTTTTGCATACAAACATGCATGCATAATGCATATATACATACATAAATACGAACGCTGGCGTGAGTAAGTGTTGTAGCGCGAGGACACGGATGCAGGGGCTCCCACCGCAAGCGTGGCGAAGGAAATGGGAGATGACAGCACCTCTCTTAGCACAGTTTAACACAGCGCAGATGCTCTCCGCACCCACCAACATGCCGCCCTGTGTCGCACCTTGAGTTTGCAGTCCGGCGTCTTGTGGAAGCCCAGCTGCCGCAGCTCCCCCTCGCTCCAGAAGGCCAGCCCCGCCTCAGCCAGGCGCTGCTGCAGGTACAGCTCATACTCCAACCCCGTCACCTGAAAGGTGGGCGGGAGGGCGCCGTAGAATCCCGTAGGAGTCAGTGGAGGCCCCTCCTGGACCACCTTCCCATGATGCAACCGACGCCTATGCCATGTGCGCCAAAGCCAGCACACGCTACATTCCACTCCATAATCGCACCAGGAGAATCAAATCCACGCCAGCTCGGTCTTCAAAATACATATACGTACATACATACATGCATGCATGCGTGCACACACACGCATACATGCACGCTGGTGACACGGTCATCATCCAGCGCCCCGCAGCCCACGCCTGGGGCCCCCGCTACCCCCCTACCTGCTTGGCCACGTCGCTGAGGGGCGAGTAGCAGCAGTCGGCATGCGCGCAGCGGACTACGTCGGCACGCAGTCGGGCCAGGAGCGGTGCGGGCACCCCGGGGCACAGAGAGCTGTCCAAGCGGTCGGGGTGCCGAAGAGCATCGCTCACTGCCTGGGGGGGAAGGGGACAGGGGACAGATGTGGGGTAAACCGGGGGAGGAGGTAATGGGATGATTGGCTGAGGGGAGGCAGCCGGAAGGATAGGGAGGCAGAGGGGTGAGCCTTGGCTGTAGGGGGCTGTTCCTTCAAGGATAAGGGCAGCGAGCGGATGGCCCGAGTGGGAGAGGGGAAATATATGCAAAGCCAAGGAAAACAACTGACCAAGGTTGGGGGGTATATGCAAAAGCTCGTGGGGGAAAGGTGCATGTAAGCATGTAAGCAGAGGAGCGCGCCAACACGGCAACAGGGGTACACTCAAAGGGGGAAAGTGGCCAACATGCGTGCCGGTATCGCTTGCGAGGCTAGCTCGCGGTTGCAGTTGCAAAGGAATTATACGGCAGTGCGGGTGTACTTGATTTTCTGGCTTGTAGGTTTTGTGGAGGTTTGGAGGCGGATGGGCCCTGACGTGCCTGCTTGGGCGCATCGATGATCTTCTCCAGCATCCGCCGCAATAGCATACAGGGCGGGAAGTCCACGTCTGCACTGAGCTGCAGCACATCCTCGCCGTTGGCGTACCTGCGTGGGATGGGTTGGGGGGACAACAGCTTGGCAGGATGTACGACGGCGTGTAGTAGTTGGGATGGTGCGCGAATGTGTTAAGCCTCTTTCAACGTTTTAGGTAATCCCTATCCCCATGGATGGAGCAACTTTGACTGACGTCGTTGCGATACTCTGCCACCCAGAGCGGTCCGGTCCGGTTCGGTCCGACGCGGTGGTGACGAAACTGACCTTGCAAGGTAGTTGATCACGTTTGCTTTATGAAGGTGATGACTCCTGATGACTTTGTACTGCTGCTCTTGGCCATAAATTGCCAGCCATGTCTCATTTTTGACCCTAAATTCACGAGAAATGCTTGATCCACCACCATAGTCCACTCAGACAACGTAATGCTAAAGGCGTCTTACTTTGGGAAGTCCCGACGCAAAGCAGTAACAGATGGACAAGCGCCGAAAGGCAGGCTAACGATGGACTGTATCCGATTATAATCTTCAGGAGTCATGGCCGCAAGCCTGATGTAAAATTGCTCCTAAGTTCAGTTCGTGCCAACTTAGGAAATGTGATGCTGTGAAGTCGGTCCATCTTCACCCGCCAAAAAGACCTTGCCCGTACGATTGACGCCATAAAATTATGTGAAGCCGCCAGATTCTCCCGCATTCTTGTGATATATGATATGAGCGATATGCTTTTTAATCGGGATTAATCTGCAACTGCTCGCTGTTCCAAGATGTTCTCCTATTCGTTTGCAGCCAGGTAACTAAATGGAATCCTTCCACTACCACCGAGTCCTTGTTGAGCCCGTGCCACATGAGACCTATTTAGGATGCTTTTGAAAGCAAGAATCAATTCTCCTTTCTTACCCCCCGGGGAAATCCTTGTAAACAACTTGTGAAACGTGACCTATGCCGCACTCAGCAAAACCTGCGCCACACTGCCATCGGGGACTCTTTAAAAGGGCGTCTCAGCATGCATGTATAAATCCCCAAGCAGGAAACCAAGGAAAGCCGGTGTCCCCTCTTTCACCCTCTCTCCTCTCCCTCTCTTTTCCCTCCTCCCCCCTTTCTTCCATGTCATGATGCGGAACACCGCCTGCACTCTCTCCAACTGAGGGTGAAGCAAAGGAAGCGGAGAAAGAGGACAAAAGCGGTGCAGGACTACAAATAGTGAAGGGCCATACAAGTGTAAGAAATCGACAATCCATGCACCACATGCAAGCAAGCATGACCAAGGGGGAGAAGAAGAATTGAAAATGTTTCGCAGGCATTGGTGAGTGCGGCACAAAAAAGTGAGCAGGGATTGTTGTTTCATACTATTTCTTACATTTTGTCCCCAACGGATACATTTCCTGTCTGGTCTTTCCGTTTCCGCTTGGCGCGGTTGTTGGACAAGTTCGCTGGAACTAACTGAATTCCAACTGTCTATATTGCCGCCTTTCTATCATATCTTTATGGCTCCGATCTCTGGTTCCAATGGCGAGCGGGAAGCTGTCATGGATGCCTACAAGTAAACGCCGCCTCAGGCGGAAGTCCATACTTGCAGAAGTATTATGGGCGAGGGTCGTAGCATGCAGGCTATGACTGGGACCACTGGTCCCCCTGGCTCGCGGAGCCCCGTCATCGATTGGAAGCACGTACGGATCAACGGTACGCCATTCCGGGACTGGACCGCGCCATTTCGGGACTGGCTGTACGATTCATGTGATGGCTGGCTGCATCCCCGCTATTTACGTGCACAAAAACTCTTCCAATCGGTGTCTTCCAACGCCACCATCCGGTTGTGTCTTGTTCTGGTTGTTCTGGTACCACCATGAAGTGAGGCGAGTGGCTGTGGGAAGTGGTGTTGACGATCCCATGGTGGCGTGCAGGTGTGGTCGCGGAGAGTTGGCATATGTATGGGTGACTGTGCTGGAAGTTGGGCAGGCAGGCTTTCCAAAAGGCATCTGCGAGCAGCTGCAATTTCTCCCTAGCCTGCGGATGTACGGACTGAGCCATCTGTCGTACATGGTAGAGCGGTGTGTGTGAAAAGAGTGAGTGTGTGTGTGTGTGTGTGTGTGAGAGAGAGAGAGAGAGAGAGAGAGAGAGGTGTGCGAGAGTGCGGGCACGTGAGGGTTTATTTGTGATTGTATTATGGCTGACATGTCCGTAACCCGCAAACTTGTGCCCTGCATGTGTAGCATGCGTAACGTCTTAACTTACAAGGTGCGCATGTGATATGCGCGACAGAGAGAAACATATACAGAGGTGTAGGTACGGACACGGTCTGTTCGATCGGTTCATTCTACACAGGGAACAAAGTCAATTTGTACGGCATGGTCGCGCGGCTGTGATGTCGGAGATGTCAAGGCCATGTCGAAAGCTCGATCAGCCGCTCTGCGGCAACCTAGAAAAGGCTTAGGTCCTAAATCTAGAGCCCTCTGTAGCAGCGTGAAGGGCAACGATGATCCTGCCGCCGATACCGCAACGTTTTCAGGCTAGAACGGAGCTACCAGATCCAAATGCTCCTTGTCCAAATGAAAAACTAGCTGCAAGCTCTCGTACAATCGCGAATCTCGCGGATCCTGAATATTGGGCCGCCATTTGCCCGGAACTGGCGGTTAGCGGCCAATTCAAGGGAGCCAAGCCACTAAAGAGGCCTGAGGAGTTTGAGAAAGCACTAAAGCAGCAATTAAATGACGAGGGTGTTTTCCAGGTCCGGAGTTGTTTATGTCATGTGCAAAAACGTCAGTCATGGCCACCTTTGTGACAACCCTTATTATGCCAGGGCCTGTTTGTATTACGCCTACCCGTAACTAGACATTAAAGGCTTCTCAGGCATTACACATGCAAAGGCGGAAACATCTCCGCGGCGCCGGGTTGCCGGGTACTCGGCTAACTGTCGCAACGAACTCTTGCTCACCTCGAGGCACAGTCGTCAGCGAAGCATACACTATCATACCGACATCTCCGATCCCACGCAGACCCGTCGACTAGCACTGTCTTCCCTTTCTCTTCCCGCAGGTCGATCCATACTCCATTCCATGGGTGGTGGACATAAAGCTCCTCGCCCGGAACATGGTCGCCCTCATGCAGCACGGCTGGCCGCCCACCTTCCTCCTTATGTACGACGAGGTAATCCCTTGAGCCTTGAGCACCCACACATCTTTCCGCTCCCTCAGACCAAGTGCCCGTGGTAGCCCCTTGCCAGCGCCAAGAAATGAACGCCTCGCTCTCCAGTAGCCGCTCTCCAGTAGCCACAACCCGCAAGGGAACGGTTTTCCCACACCGCCATCCCATGCTCCTACTTTTTTCATGTTCCTCCTTTTAACCGGAATGCGATACCGAAATGTGTTGAAATTCCTGAAGAAATTCCTCTTGGAATAAGATTCGCGTCCCCGCGTTCCAGGTTTGGGCGCTCATCAATCGTGCCAGTGCGCTGATTTTTGCCACCACCGGCAACGTGTGCAATATGGACGTGTTGTGCTGGTGGGTGGGGTGGGGCGGGGGATGGGGTTGGGGCGGGTTGGTATTGGAAGGGTCCGGAAGGCTGAATGGCGTGTTGCAAAATGACAATTGCTGCTGGCCAACGGAGGAAACATTTTAGTTCAGTCAGCCAGCCACACAGAGAGACGGAGAGGAAACCCCCTTTCAAATGAGCCAATTAGGGAATGCCGCGTGGTTGTACAAGGGTGGTTGTACGACATGTCTGAGCTGCGAAGGTCCGCTGTCCCGAAAATCCCGGTGCGTGGACACACGAGCGCATCTGTGTCTGTATTTCTGTGTGTGTATTTCTGTATGTATGTGTTTGGGACTGCATACGGCACTCAAAGTACACTCCCCCTCCCCGTTCCCCCAATACACCTAATTTACCCCCTCCTCCTCCCTACTGCCCTTTGGG